CTCCTGCTTTTGACTTTCGGATTGAGCGTCTGGGGCTCACGTCCAAACTGGAGCTTTGAGACAAACATCTTCGGTTAGCAGTCGGAGCAAGAAATACTTCGCTCCCGAGTTGTGGCAAAGGCAGGCAGTCATCACTGGCGTCTCGGCAGAGTGTGCAGTCAGTTTGGGGGACGTTGGATGCGACCGAGTCGACATTGCGATCATTGAGACCGATTCTGTTTGGGGATTCGTCGATTGTTATCGGAAGCGCGCCCAGTGCCACAGCAAATCTGTCAAATCTTCGCCTGCGAGGGTCAACGTGCAGAGTCGTTGGAAGTCAGTCCGTGGCCTGAGAGTCGTGTACAGTACATCCTAAGTTCTAGTATAATTTATCTATCTGTCTATCTATCGAACTATCTTTCGGCTCCCTGCAATGTGGTCTCTTCGACAATTTGCAATCCTGTCCTTGCGGTCCCAGCCGGCCTCTGACCAGATACGAACATACTCCTGACGAAGTTGTGTCCACGCAGCCTCCATCTCCATCGGGCTGCTGAACATGTAGAGTGAATATCGGTTGCTTCGGCCACGATGAACCTGATCCCGGGCTCGGCATAGCGCCTGGAATGCCGCCAGTCCCGCCTCCATCCGTTCTGCAGAATAACGAGGAGTATGCAGCTCCCTGCCGATCCAATACTTTGCCGGCACCGTCGCAGCAAAGCTAAGTCCGACATCTCGCGGAGTCTGCCTAACACTGGCAAACACCTCCTGAACGGCACGATCAAAGATCTGCGGCAGGTGCTCTGGCATACAACCATGTGCGTTCGCACTCACCTCCTGCTTTATGGCTTGCAGTAGTCTTCTATGGCGGACAGCCACGCCAAAATCGCGCACGGACTTGGTGCAAAGTCGAAATGGGCCCGCAGAGGCGTGGGCAACATAGAAGAAAGCAGTCTTGCCAGAAGCCAGTCGTCTGCAACGCCGTGTAATTCCTGGCTGCGAACACAGAAAACTCTGGTCAATCGTAATGATGCAGGTCCCTCTACTAATCGTGAATACAAATTTCTCATCTCTGCTGTGCTACTTCTCTCAACTTCTTTCTATCACCAGCCTACTGCCTAGGCTTCATATTCCGAGCCTGCATCTCGGCGATTTCGAAGCTTTGCCACTTTGGCGCATGGCTTCAAAAGGCGTCCTCCCAGCTAAACATGCGCAATTGGTTAAAACAAACACATGAACAGGCTTGCAGTCAAGTGACTCCGACCATCTTTCATCTCGCCCTGCACATGCTGCTCTCGCATGCACTCTCTTCCGTTCCCTGCGCATGTCTACCTCCCTGAGGATGCCTTGTTGTTTGCCAGAATCCATCTCTCCAGTGCCGCGCGCTGAGCCTGCAGAGACATGCAGCTGGGGCAGCCGCAGTTAAGAACTGAGGAAGCTGGCCATAGACACTGTAAGGGACATGATGCCAGTCGTGGTCGGAATTCCTAACTAAACCAGCAGAGCTTGCGCCAGGATGCTCCTGCAGCCGTCTAAGCTCTGACAAATTGAAGCGGACTTGCTGGGCTACTTCCAGATAATCCACCTGGCTGAGGTGCCGCAGCAGCAGCTCCTGGACATTACGCTGGAATGGAAACAACACCCATGACGGTCTGACAGCTAATTTTGGCTTTGCTCACTCGTCATCTGCTCGTTGCTTTTCTCAGTCTTCCTACAACTGGCTCTCATCTTGCAATGCTTCCAATTTTCCATGCTTCCCGTGCTGCTTTGCTGCTGTACTGCCATGCTATGTATTATGTAGCTACTACCCTCTCTGTGTTTTGTATCCTCTTCATCTTTCGAGTGCCACCACTGTAGGTATTTCCGAATACTGGGTCACAACAGTCGTCGTCGTCGTCGTACTAGTAGAGCAGCAGCGGCAGCGGCGTTAGCAGAAGCAGCAGCAGCAGCAGCAGCGGCATGAACAGTAGCAGGGGTCCTCGTCGTTGTCGTCGTCGTAGTATTTTGTAGTAGTAGTCGTCGTCATAGTAGTCGTCGTGGTCGTCGTAGTCGTGGTCGTCGTAGTCGTGGTCGCGGTCGCGGTCGCGGTCGCGGTCGCGGTCGCGGTCGCGGCGGTGGCGGTGGCGGTGGCGGTGGCGGTGGCGGTGGCGGTGGCGGTGGCGGTGGCGGTGGTGGTGGTGGTGGTGGTGGTACGCAGAATAGTGGTGGTGTTGGTGGCAGCGGCGGTGGTTGTCGTCGTAGCACTAGGAGGAGTCCAAATGCTAGTAGTTGTCGTGCTGCTGATTTGGGCCACCGAAGACCGAACCCACTTCAGGTTGGCAATCCAGACTCTTGAAGTTGGGGCCAGTTTGAAGGTCGCTTGAGGAGCAAAAGCCACCCTCACCATGTTTCGAAGGACTGACCCCGACTCAAGACGACAAGCAAGCAGCAAAGCCGGAATCTGAATATGGGGCAGAAACCCACTCATGGAAGTATATAGAACCCAATACAAAACAGACAAACAACCATCTATGGCGGCACAGCACGCTCTGAAGGTCTCAGGCTAGAAGCAGGGCTGCAGCGGACCTACGAGACACCCACATGTTGTGCCAAACAAATGTTAAAATAAGGGAGAGAAAGAAGAGTAGCAATTTAACCAACTGTCACTTCAACATCATCACCACCACTCATCACCAACCCCCAACCAGCACCGACATCATCATTGTCACCCCCACGAGGGTCGTCATCCTCAGAGTTGTTGTCGCCGGCCCTATCGGCCCAAAACCCAGGATCCGCTGCAAACCGCTCCTTGCGCTGTTCCGGCGACGCCAGTCGTAAGCGACGATACAACTCAGCCTCAATGCAACGCGACCTGCGAAGCTGTTCCTTGCTTTATCGGTGGAGAAAGGGGTGGAACGCCGGCAGGAGATACCGAGCTTACGGAACAGTGCTCAGACACAAATGATGCCAATAATCCCCATTAAACGAACTGCAGCAAAAGAGCAACCAGACAAGCTGGTCGAATGTTCGAGACCTTCCGATTTCTGGTAAAGAAGCTCTCGGGTTTTTGAGCCTTTCAACATGCAACGGGTTCAAGGCCTTTCCACCAAGACCAGGACGACATCAAATCTGTCAAAATTATGCCTCACTCGGCACACCACAAAACGACATCCTGGTTGAACAAGACCTGACAGTGGCAGCTGCAAAAGTGGGGCCCCTCAACTGGGACTTTGCTGGCCTCCCCAAACTCAGAAAAACATGGCCCATTGCTTTCTGGAGCTTTGCCAGCCCGCGCTACTGCGAAAGCACGAGTCCTACAAGGAGATTCATGCAAAGAATTCCAGCAAGAATCCCTTGAAAAGACAGGTCACACTACCACAGCCACGCCCCATGCAAGTCACAAAAGCTCGGACAGTGTGCCAACCAAACGGTTCCCGAAGGCCCCTGGTGCCTGGTCGCTACCTTGCTGTTGCATGGCCTGTGAACCTGGTTGCACAAGCAGAAACTGATGATTACAAAGGTGGCGAACTGTGGATGCAGAAGGAAACTGGGCAGATGAGCCTGCGTCATGTGCATGGACAGACTCAGCTGCGAGTCTCCAGCGAAGCTGCACCTTGAAGTTGGTGGTTGTGCGACGCAGTCGGATGTCGCAAGGCCAGAAAGCAAAGTCGGTCTCAACTAACTGGAAGTGTCTGGTTGGACATTCCGATGCTCTCCTGGCTCTCGTCAACCGGACGATGCGGTTGGTCCCCTAGTGGCACAAGACCCCAGCAGACCACATCGGAACGCCGAACGCCTCTTGATCCCACGACCTGCCGAGTTCCGACTCTTCCGACGCATGCGATATTATGCGCTTCGGTGTACACAAGGACATGCTTCCCAGGTCCCAAACAGGCAGCGGGTACCTGAGGTCTTTCTTTGCGGCGTGCTCGCCTGTGAAGGTGAGACGCACGGAACTTTTATGCGAGGGGCAACCGGCTTCGCCTGAGCCACTGGGATCATCCGGCTCATCTCTTCGTGTCGAGATCCTTCAGTTCCTCCATCGAGCAGCCAAGCTGATGCTGTATCGCCGCTATGACTGTGAGGGGTACGATGGTCACGGAGCCAGTGCTGGCAATGATGCCGATGGTGATGATGCCGAGGAGGAGGACGAGGAGGAGGAGTTGCTTGGACGACATTGCTTCGATTGCCCCCATCAGCACAGTATATCATATTCATCATCATCTTCATCTTCATCTTCATCATCATCATCATCGCCATCATAATCATCATCAGCATCATCTCCATCACCACCACCACCACCACCACCATCACCATCACCAACACCATCATCTTCATCATCAGCAGCAGCTTCACTGGAACGGCGAGACATGCGGCCCAGCAAGAAGCCTAGGAGTACTGAACGCGAGCCAAAGCAAGAGTGACAGGCACAGCGACTGTCATGAAAACAGCAGTGGTCATAGCCATGATTATGTTGATTGAGAGGCCCACGTTGATGAGTAGCCGGATGATGAACATGAAGCAGACAAACATGATGATGAATAATGAACAGTTAGTGACGGCGGTGATGAAGTGGAATAACACGTTATACTGCCTGGTTTTCCTGGCGATGATGCTGATGATGGTGGTGATGGTGAAGGTGATGGTGAAGGTGATCATGATGGTGATGGTGATGGTGATGTTCACAGTGATGTTGATAGTGCCCATAGTGATGGTGCTGATGGCTGAAGGTGACGATGACGGTGGCCATGATAATGATGACGGTCGGGCTCTATCCGGATAGAAGCAGCTCGGGAGCCAGCAGCCAGCACTTTGCAAGCTGACTTCCCAGCTGGTCTGCCAGAGTTTAGTCAATTCCCTGTCACGTTGTCACAAGAAGGACAGAATTGACGTTCGAAGTGCCCACATTGGCTCGGCCCAAGACAAAAGATAAGGAGTCAGAAGATTCAACTGATCTAGCTCCCAGCCTGCTACCCTGGACGTGTTTCAGCACATTCGTCCGAGATGCTGGACCCCAAACTCATGCTTCACGATCCCGAGGTGTATACACTCCACCGACGACTTCGGCTTCAACAGGCGAAGGGGTTAGATGGGTGAGCACATACATCGCACGCCTCGAAGATCTGCGGACATCGTTGAGCTCGGGCTTCAACATACGATGCTACGCCCAGCATCATACTACTACCTCAATCTGGCGAAGACATCTGAAAGCCATGACACCCTGAGCAACAGCAACGTACTGAGGGCGCCACTACCGGATCAGGTACCACTACCTGGTATGTGCATGCGTTTCTTCCGTACACATGTCTCTTGTGTGAGAACTTACAGGCCTCCTACACCCATACTCGGAAACGTAGGTATGCAAATGTATACATAACGTATACGTTAGTTCTTGACATGCTTGTGTTTATATACATATATATATATATACAACTATATATATACACACACATATATATATATATACATATGTATATATGTATATATATATATATGTGTGTGTGTGTGTATATACATACATATACATATACATACACATACACATACACATACACACCTACACACATACAC